CATGCACACACAGCATCACATGCAGTCTATGTTAGCTCTAGCTGCAGTCATGTGCTCTTCAGTTAGCATACCACCACATCCTTCACTCTTCTGTTCTTCTGTTATGTGTGAGTGTACGTGCATACGTCGAATTACATTATGTGGAGTGGAACAATATCTTCATGTTAAACTTTCTGGGTGTGAAGCATGCTCCCAACCTCAGTATCCTGTTTATAATCCACACACACCCACACTATGTTGATCTATAGTTTATCTGCATTTACACAGAACACATTAAGTTACACTGCTTAATATATGCACCCAACTAACTGGCAGATATTTGGCAGACACATTTTTATATAGATATATAATTAAATGTCTTCTTTTTTTTACAGTATGTCCACAAATTAAGGGCTGGAATTGTCTGTCACTGGAAACCTCAAGTGATAGTAGTGTTTTTTAATTTATGCCACCTAGGGGTGAAAATTAGTCTCTACAAGTCAATTTCATCATTTTCATTTCATCATTTTTTTTAAGACAGAGAATAATTCAAGGTTATATATCAAAATGTCTGGAAGTAGTCTGAGCAGTATGATGAATTTTTTTTCCTTTTCATCATTTTCAGTTTATTAATCTTTAGAATTTCTGCTTCCTCCTGGTTTCCTTTCATCTAAAGCAAATGGGTCAGGTTTCATTCATGTGAACATTAAAATATCTTCTGTAATACATTGGTTTCTCTGTGAACTTACTGCTCTGGTTGGGATTGTGGTGTTTTAAATAAAGTGTTACATTTTGGGCTCTGTGGGACGGACATGTCTTATTAAAAACACATCAAAAGTCAGACTTTTAATTCATAAAGTCCTTCCAATAAAAAATCTCTGGCTTTGGCTCTTTTTTTGTTTTTGACTGATCTCTTATTTTTCATCTTTCTTTTTCTAGTTCCCAGGCAGAAGGTGATGTGAAGGAGGAGATCCTGCAGCCCCCAGAGCCTCACCCCGTACCCCCAATTCTGACCCCATCTCCCCCCTCAGCCTTCCCAACTGTCACCAATGTACGACAGGACAACGACCGTTACCACCCTAAACCTGTTATACACGTCCTTGCAACCTCACAGACACAGGTGAGCCTACTCAGACAACTCAAGACATTTATATAAACATGCTCCCTTTCAGACATGCGCTGACAAATGGAATATTTGTTGTTTTCAGAGATGTTATCAGAAAGGTACAAACATGTCTAATTGTTTCATTTTGTTTTCTTTTTTTCAGAACAAAGAAGCTGATAAGCAGCAGAACAAGTCAACCAGTCTTAACAAGCAGACAAGCCCCTCAGAGCAGAAAGACCAGGATCTACAAGGTCTAAAACAGCAGACTCAGGTCTCAAATCTAGACCTGAACGAGAACTATAACAACAAGACGTCGTCAACATCCACAAAAACAGAATGTGGCCAGACGCCCTCCTCGCCCCTCTCATCAGCTGTTGAATGTTCCGGTGCTCCTCGGATCGAGAGGAAGCTGAGCATTGAGATTAAAAAGGTCCCCTTACAGGAAGGACCTCGTAGTTTTGACACCTCCACCTCCATGGGTGTAGCAGGAGGAATCAGCAACAGTTCCACCAACAACACCGGCATGCTGCAAAGAAGCCACGCCTTCAAAGCCAGAGCCAGCCAATCGCTGCTGACGTCGAGCTCCTCGCTGTCGGAGGACTCAGGCACAGAGGGGGGAGCAGGTGGATACGGGGAGAGTAACGCTGACGGGGGCGTTCTCACCAGACCTAACCACCTCCCTGTGAAGAGCGAGAAGTTGGAGACGCCGGGTGGAGGGGAGAGAGCTGAGGTGAAGGCTGGCCACGCGGCGTGGAGTCAATCCTGCAGCAGCCCGGACAAACACTTCCCCAAAACCACATCGTCCTCTTCCTCCTCTTCAGAACGTGTCGCCCCATCCTCCTCCTCCTCCTCCCACCTGTCCTCCTCCTCCTCCTCCTCCTCCTCCACCCCTGTTAGGACTGCTCTCAGCTTCACCAACCCGCTGCACTCTGATAACTCGGATAACGAGGAGGGGGACGGGGAGATGTCCGGAGGTAAGGAGGGTTATCGGACCACAGCGACGGCCGTGGTGACGGCGTCCCTCCATCACGGAGACCAGCAGCCCATCAGGAAGGTGTCGCCCATGTCGATCGCGGGGCAGAGCACTCCGTCACCCTCTGCAAACACAGCAAGTACGTCAATCAGCTGGTTATGTTGAGTGACAGGAGCTTTAATCTACTAACAAACGTGCTGCTTCTCTGACAGTTAACAAGAGGAAACAAACTCGGTGAACAAACTCATACAACATATCATTTAACATCATCATTCAAAATGATATAGATCACAGTAAATATTCAATGTAAAACTAAATCCTTTAAAGCTCCTGTGAGGAGTTTTTACTAAGTTATGACGCTGACCGATATTATCAGTGATGCCTTTTTAATACCAACAAAACCAGAAAAAAACATCAGCTAGAGGATTGGTTTCTTCTAAACTTAATGCCTTTAAACGCTGACACAGCTTAAGTGTCAGACTCAACAAGTTACACCAAGCTGAAGAAAAAAGTAAACACAATGAGGGATACATTTGACTTTTAATGAAAGAAGTTAGGAAACACTACCTACACATGTTCAGGACGAGGTTAGAAAAGAGATGAGATGTAAAGCTTTGTCCACAGGGGGCGCCAACACTGACTCAAACTGAGCAATCCTCACTGTAGCTTTAATTTAATTTACCTATATTTATTAATTTATATGAATTTAACACTGTATGTGGAATCAGCTTTTTAAAATGGTCCTACACTAAGAAAAACAACCTTCTTATGGTAAAAAAACAAACAAACAGGTTTACAGGTCCATGTGGGATTTGAAATCTTCCAATATGAAACGAATTTGCTTAATCCTATCACCCAACCAAGAATTGTATCTATTTCCTTTTTTTCATGTATCCCTCAATACATGTTAAATTAAACTGAATGTGTTTTTTTTCGATAGTGTCATTGAAATTGTAATATAGGTCCAATACAGAGCAGTTAATAGATTTTTCTCATTTTCAACTCGACTTTTCACATACAGTGTCATTAAATATGTAGCAATCAGTGTCATTAAACCACATAACATACAATGTATTACCATAATATATGAAGGTGCAACTAAAATACTGTAATTATTTTATATCAACAGCCAATTTAAAATGATTTTTATAGAAACAATATACTTTTTTGTCTGTTTAACAATTAAACATTTAACATTTTTTAGCTATTAAATAGCTGCAATTAAATAAATTCATCCAATGAATTGTGTTTATGTGGCAACAAATTAACAGGCAAATCATATTGTAGATAAATTGTTCTCAGTGCTACATCCTGAATGCAATGCATTTTGGGTAGCTGATCATTCTGGTGTGTCTGTTAAACGACTTACTGCCAGAACTCTCACATTATAATACCTTTAACAGTTTCATTAAAATAAACAAACTTACAGATTTAGGCTATTGTTTAAATGTACTCAGTGTAGAAGAGATTGTCTTATAAGATTTGTGGTGAAGGCACCTTGAATAACTCTGACACCCTGTCTTTATAACACGCACACGCACACGCACACGCACACGCACACGCCTAGGGAAACTACAGGGTGGAGTCATACTCAGGGTCAGTCTGGAGGCAGGTCTCTCATAGACCACATGGTAATAACACACCACATAATACTGTTCTCACTGCAGGGAAAAGACCGAGGCAGGAAGAGAAGAAAAACACAGTGAGATAGTTCCATATGAAGCAGGGCTGTATGACTAATTGGTTGGTTTTGCGAGGAATGCTGCAAATGTTAACAGGCGAACATCTGTCAAAACAACTCCACTCTTTCTCTTTCAGCTTGTGTGTGTGTTTGTCTGAGTGAGTGAATTTACCAACAGGAGAAAGGAATCCTGAGTTTTGTGTCTTTTTGTTTCCCTGTGCAGAGAAAGTGTGTGTGCATGTTGGATGGTGAAGGATCAACACTGCATGATGCTGATAAAGCCTCTGTGCACGTCGGGTTGAACAGAGCGGTGTCACGCTGTTTGTGCTTCGGTACGGCCTCACTGTCATGATCACTGTCATGTTTTTGATCCTCTGAGGATTGAAAACGCTCTTTCCTCTCTGTTGATTTCAAAATCACGAGATTCTGAAATCTGATTCTTGCTGTGATGGATTTGACTTGGAATGGTTTGATCTGGCTTAGAGCTGTTTGATCTTGAACAGGTTCAAAGCTTGTTGACTTAAGACTTAGTTGCATTTTCTAATATTTGGATTTAACTGTGAGAGAGTGCGTGATGGTAATCTATTTGCCAGCAGTTAATTGCTTTAAATTATAGCCAATAAGTGTTCGAATCAGAAAAGTGAAAAAAAAAGAATTATATAAAAGTTGTGTATTTATTCTTTTCTGGTAGTTTTGTAACAGAAATCAAAACAGAATTCTGTAAGCTTTGATTGGAATTTTAACAAAGCTGCTTATGATATTTTAATACAGAAGATAGGACACAAAAACAATATAAAAAAAATACTGAACCTTCATACATTTGTATAAATCATAATTATTTTTATGGCATCGATTCAGAATGAGCCATTTTACTACATAAAAATAAATATTTGTTTCTAAACTGTAACGGTAAACAGTGATTTATTGTCTATTTATCACCAAAGATTTAAGTGTTTTTTATATATATATATATATAGCTCAATAATGATCTGGTTCTTCATCTATCCAGCACTTCTGAGTTTCATTGAGTTTAAAAAATGATTGTAAACTACTCAAATATAACTCATAGCTTATACACAAAAACAAATATACTGAAGAAGTGTAATTGAACAGGTAGCTACAAGTCAGTCTGAATGTCTTCAAATCGAGACTGTTTAAAGTGCCCAACGATCTTTCTTGATCTGTGAGGTAGATCGTACCATCCGATACCTGACGTGTCAATATTTCATCAGATCTGTCCCATCTCTAATTAATTAGAAATTAGGTAATCTCTAATACATCTAGTAATAAGTACATAGAAGAAACATAGCAGTATGGACAATATAAGAATATAAATGTGTACAGATACAGTATGTTTACCCAAACTGTGAAATATGTGCATCAACAGTATGTAAAGGTTTGTGCATCATGTATAGAGATGTGTTGTGTTACTTACATATTTCTGTTAATTATTTAAATTAATACAATTTCTGGCACTAAATATCATGCACTCCATAGTTATTCCCAATATTTGAAACCAAATGCAGAAGAAGTCTTTGGCTCTCAGTTCTGTTGAGGACCGGTCTGCAGTTTGATCTGTTTGGCTTTCTGTTTATTTGGGCTGTGTGTTAGCGCTTTGTAATGGGTGCTGATGGCTGCTATTTGTTTGGTTTGCACTATAATGGCATTGTGCTGCTTTGTGGTTGGTGAAGAAGGAAGCTGGTGGCTGCTTGTTTCCTGGGTGCTTTAATAAAACAGCTTTATTTATTTATAATTCACATTTTATGCAAGTTGAGGCTGTTAGAAATGTTTACAAGTCAGTTTCAAAATAATTCCACAACAAAACGTGTAAAAGGTTTGAAAGGTGCAAGAACCATTTGAACAAAATATGAATAACAAATATCAAACGCTTCAGGGTGCAAGTTTCATGCTGAGTTCAATTCTCCCTCTACAATTAAATGAAATGCAAAAACTTATATCACATTGGAAACAGCATTAACACATGTCCTTATAAGCTCTTGTTCTCATAAGTTATGCTAACATTTATCTAATCATCTGTCCTAATCATTATCATCATCTAGTGAATCCCTAAAAATGCTCAGAAGCTTGATTTAACCCTTTAATATTTTCTTCATCTGGGCTGAAAGATGAATCGAATAATAAAATCACAATTGTAAGGATTTCTTTAGACAATGTAAACATATATAGTATATATAGTATTACCATCCCTATTGATATTAGTGAGAATGGAATAAGTAACAGTAATACCTCTTATGATATTTCAATACTTACAACAACAACAGCAGCTCAAACTGATCAAAGAGCTAATCAACAGCTCTTACAGTTTCAACTAAAACTGAACATTGTAACTTTCAAAATGTGGGGATAGTTGCAGAACATCTGGGTTATACTGCTTAACAGCTGCTGAATTTACTTTAGGTATTATTGTTAAGCCGCTTGATCTGTATTGAGAAATATTCAACATTATACTCAACGACTTAAAACTCCTCAAATGTGACATGTTGACTTGTTAGTGCCTGAGAGTCAATTTCAGCAAAATATTCAATTTAACGGCGAGTAGACAGACAAATGAAGTGAACTTGTGTAGCTGTTAAGGTTTTCTTAGTTCAACCAGGGCTCTAATAAAGAGGCTAACATACTTATGATCATTAATCATCTAAGAACGTCCTTGATATTACTGCTGAATTCAAAAGAAACAGATTTATTTTAGCTTGATTAAAAAAGTGTTTTCTATTGAGCACTAAATAAAGTGTGTGTGAAGCAGTTCTCACACCGCAGCTGATGTGAACTGTTATTTATTCCATAAAGACTTCCTGTGTTACATGTCAAACTGTTGTTTATAGCTTCAGTATCGCCTAGGCCGAGCTCTGAGTAACCAGAATACAAACCACAAGTGACACTTTCTAATTAATAGATGTTTTCCACTGTAAATATAAATATATGTGGTCTGCCTCTTCCTTTCAGTCAATATGAAGAATGATGAGAAAATACATGTTGTCACTTTTGTCATTTAAATTGTCAATCAAAGGACATTTATCACAACGTCTACATTTTATTAACAGCAAAAATAAACTCTTCTTAAGTACAGAACACTGTGAAGTATTTAAGTAAAAAAATGAACCCCTTGAGGAAAGATGGATTATTGTAATAAGAAATATTCAATGGTGTTTTTAAAATTTAAAAATTAGGACAAATTAGCATGTTTAAAATACCAGTGAGTTAAAAATCAAGACATATTAATGTAAAAAAAGTAGTAGTTTAAATGTATTTATCCAGGTGACTCTTCTTCTTATGAACTAGTTCACTATAAGAAATATAAGGAATCAAGGACTGCTGATCTCTTGCCTCTGTTCTCAGGAGCTCATTAATGTTACTTGTCCTTTGACCCTTTGACCTTTTAACCCAGATTGCTGGGACAGCGACGACTCCCCTCCCCCCCTCCCTGCGAGAACCCCTGAGTCCTTCATACTGGCCACAGGTGCGTTTGTTCTGTTCAAGATTCACACGTGTGTCCGAGGTGCTGCGGTGCTATGGAGTCACTAGGTCACCTTCTGGAATCATCTCTGGTGTTTCTTTTAACGAGGGTGGATAATGAAGGTGGATGGATCAATGAATTGAGAGACTTTGTTTGTGATTGAAACCATCAGCAGTGATTTTGAAAAAGAAAGGATCTGATTTTCTTTCCTTCTTCTGATCTGCTACATGACAGTGTGTCTCTCTCATCTTCACTTCAAACACACAGATGGACACACATAACACACTGCAGGTATCAGGCCTGATATGACCTCAGGCTCTCACAGGATGCTTTCTTTAATAACTGGCTCAACCCTGCTGTTTGTTTTGTCTTCTTCCAATGTTATGCTGGGATATAAGAAGAGGAGCGCATTCAAATAATCCGCTACCCATAAGATGAAAAAGAGTTACATTCCCTTAATTATTTTTTTCTGAGTGGCCATGTCTAGTTTACACCACTAGGGGGCACCAGTGTTGCAGTATTTCAGACTCACTTTGAAAGAGACTGGTGTCAGTTGACCAGCTGGGTCCCAATCCATGTAATTTACAAAAAACAGTGAATTAAAAAAAACTGTCTTTAGTTAATATTGCACTCAGTTAGTGTCCACATTAATCTTACTGACTGTCTTTTCAGATTGAAGCAGATAGGGTAATGATTTTATGGGTGCAGCAACCTGTTGAAAGAACAGTCTTTGGGCTTTATTGTCATTTTTTAATCTATAATATATTTTGTCTATTATGTAATAAAAGTCCCAGCTTTCTCTTGTATGCAGGATCAGTCTTTAAGGACTCTGATTACATTTGTGTGTGATTGTTTTTTTTGTGTGAGGCTCCAGTATCATGAAATGTTGGTCAAATGAAGTCATCCTCTTTGGAGGAGAATGAGTTTGAAAAGAACCAAAAGTGTATGCATGTGTGTGAATGTGAGAGTGTTTGTGCTAACTTATGGCTCTATGTTCATTAACATGCCATGTGGGTTATTATCTTTTGTTAAAGTCACTCTCTCTGTGGCTCTTTCTGCCAGACCCTCTGGAGTTGAAAACATCAGCCTCAGCCGAATGGAGCGGCTCACATAAAGGTATAACACACACATAGCCTGGTCTATCTGTGCAGAGGAGTCTCTGTGTGTCTGCCTCTGTTTATGTTTTTTCACAGCACTAAGACAGCAGAGCATAATGGAAACAGGCGTCTAGTGTTTTACAAATTAGCCGGCGTGCGATAAGTCTGGCAGCATGTGTCAAGAGGGCAGCTGTAGGAGCGAGTGAGTGAGTGATGACGAGAGGGACAGAGATACAGAAAGTGAGAGAGAAACAGGGTAAAAAAACCGGTCCATATACAAGAGGAATGGAAAATGTGTGCATGCTTATCCGTGCTCTGAAGTGTGAATGATGATGGTTACTGCCAATTTATGGCTTCAATAGTTCTGGTGCATGTGTCAAATGGAACAATCAAAAGGAAAAAGTTGAACATGAGTTATTTTTTAATGGCTTTTAATATCATCCAAAAAGAGAATTTGTGAAGAATAGAAAAGCTGTGGTTTTAAAGAAGTTCCTGTTGATTTAAATGTCATGAACTATTTAAATGTCATGAACTATGTAAAGTCTTGGCAGGAAATTCAGGTCCTGTGTTGCTGTAAGATTTCACACTTATTGATGTAAATATCCCTCGCACAAATGGTTGTGAGTTTTTTTTTTTTCTGTGTGTGCACTTAAGGTTGAAGGTGCCCCCGGCAATTAATTAAAAATATATATTATGTATCTGATGATATGATATATAAAGAATACGTTTATAGCGTTTCCTTTCTGCAGCTTTCATTGGATTTGCAACACTTAAAAGTAAAGTGGTAGGACAAAACACTGATATGGCAATACATCACCATCCTGACTCCTGAAAGATATTTTTCAAACAAACAAACAAAACTGATCAGCCGGCCATGTTACCTCACAACTTCATCAACCCTCTGATTGGTTAATAGAAGGGTAGACGGGCAGTGAAAAGAAGTTTAAAGGCTTTATATATATTTTTTGATCCAGCAGATGTCGCCCTTGAGCACCAGCATGAAACCAAAACAACTTGTACTGCATTGTTGTGTTAGCATGCTAATGCTAGTGATCTTTATTATGCTCGTATCTTCACACTGCATGTAAATTTACCTGAAATGAGCGTGATCTAGAAACACAGTTAAGCAGTGAGTACAGTATGTTATTCTTCTTTTCTCTAGTCCCTCAATTAAACTACTTTTATACATGAGGGGAGGAGTCAGCCAGCCGTCCAGGCGATGTAAACAAACTGAAGATAGGACTCTGAAAACTCTGAAAACATCAAAGACAGTGGGACTCGGGTGTTACACCCATTGTAGACAGTCATGACTCAGAGTTATTTTCAGAGGATAGACTTGATTTATATTACATTTAAGAGTGAAAAATCACATATAAAGACTTTAAGGACGAGAATGGTAAGAGGTGAAACTGACACCAACAGTGAACCTGCATCATTATATGGTTTTCTTATTATAGCAGGAACAGTATATTGTGATATTATTATTGTGGGCCATATGTTGTATATTGTATCCTGAGTTAGCCTTCAATACCCACTGCCTCTTAAATGTCAAATATAATACAAAATACACTTTACAATATGTGCCTGTCTACAAGAAAGACCAAGCACCTCCAGAGGGGCGTGGTCTAACAACAGCTACCTGGATTTAAAGCTACAGACACAGAAACAGCCTCTTCTGAGCTGGGCTACAATAGAGGGATTTATAGACATGATGTGTTTGTTGGGGAGCTCTGAGACTTATTTAAAGGGTTGAAAAGGAGAATAATCTGTGACCTTTAAAACCACTACATTATTCCTTTAGCTCCTAAATGTGTATATAATTGTGTGTCTGTGTTTCCTTTTTGTAGATGTGTCAGACTGTGTTAAAAAGACATCTCCAGCAGACCCTGGATCAGCTGGAACCACAGCTACAAGCAAGCCAGACCTGGGTGGGTAAGTTGTCTGCCCTTACATGTTTCGTCTGAGTTTATCTGCAATGTGATTTGTCTGGTTTCCTCTAGCCAACCCTCTGAATATTTTTTTGCACATGTAATGATCTTTTAGTTTCTGTGCAGAAAACTTTGCTGACAAACATGTTTTCAATCATTGTTATTTTAAATTTGCTTTTACTGATTGGAGCTTTAAAGCTGCATGTGCAGAAAATATTTGATGGTTTTGAGACCAGGCAGGGTCCTCAGGGCGATTTTTATCTGTTTTTATGCTAAGAACTCCTTGTCCCTCTCCTGTCAGGGTTCAGTAACCGCTGCATTCAGCCCAAAGGCCCCTGGGAACCCCCCCTGGAGTGGACATGATGGAACAGTCCATCCTCGCCGTCTACCGGCAAGAGCTCGTCCTCCATCAGGATGGAATCCACCCATCTCACCTGGCTGGTCCAAAAAAATAAAAATAAAATCATAGATGCTAGAAAGACAGAAAGCACAATGTTATCCAGAAACAGCTTCTGTGTAACTCTGTGTGAACTCCTCCTCCTCCTCCTCCTCAGTGCCACTGTGCAAAGCAGAAGAACACTTCGACCACGTTTTCCTGTTAGATATTTAACTTAAAAACTGACCTTGCATTATTCCCGGTAATGTTTTCTCAGCTGTTTTCAGTGCAAGTCGAATCTTATTGTTTATCTCTCGGAACTGTAGACATCATAAAGTGTTCACCTGGAGTTAATTATCTGTCAAACCAAATTAGAAAACACTTCTTTCTTTTTGTAAACTGTAATCAGAATTGATCTTTAATTGGACACGCTGACTCCCGAGGTTTAACTGAACTCACAGAAGCTGTCCTGCTTCCTTCTACTGAATGAACAACAATCTTCAAAGCGAACCTAGATAATCTGTCACCCATGATGCAACCTTTTCTGTTGGGTATGTACAGGTTGCCAGGGTGCTCTCTCTCTCTCTCTCTCTCTCTCTCTCTCTCTCTCTCTCTCTCTCTCTCTCTCTCTCTCTCTCTCTCTCTCTCTCTCTCTCTCTCTCTCTCTCTTTCTGTGTGCTGGTGCTACATTACAAAGGCTCAGCATAGAAACAGAAGCACACAAGCCGACTGTCATCTTCCTTTAGTTGTTCCTTAAGTACATCTTGGTTTCCTGTTAGCTGCAGTAATGTTAGCTTGGGTGCTTTTTATTTCCATGCTGACCTCCCTGATTACCAGAGTCATGGATTAATGCAGTTTGGTCATTGCACTGGTCAGAGAGATGCCTTCTCTGTGGTTGTTTTAGACATCTTAATTAATAGACATATTGGTAAATAGTGTATTCATTAATCTGGTAAGTGTCATCTCATGTCTGCAAATAAGTTAATAAGGGGGTAGAGCCAGACGCGATTTAGCTTTATTTAGCATTAAAACTGGAAATGCTCAAAATCCACCAACTAGTGCCATCTCATTGATTTGATCTGAGCTCAAACTTAAACCTAACACACCAGGAGCCTTATAAACTGTTGCAAACTTATTCTAACTACACTTTTTGCACTGATAATTCAAATGAAATGTCTAGTGTTTATTTAACCAGGCTGCATTAGCCATTCCCCATTGTCCAGTTTTAATGGCACTGTACCTTTAAATTTAAGATACAGACATCAGAATGGTTTCAGTGTTCTCATCAAACTCTCCGTAAAAAGGTAACTAAGAATCCTTTAAAAAAAAAAAAAAAAAACAAGTGCAGAGTGAAAATGAGCTGAAGGAGCACCTCATGTAATGACCAAACTCATCCGATCTGTGACTGTGGCCTTCACTGCTGGGACCATGAGCCTGCCTTAGTCCGCCTCCAAGAGAAGACAGCCAATAACAGTCCTGCTTTATTTGGCTTCTCTCTTCAGTTCATGTTTTTTAAATGTATGTGTGTGGCTTCTCCTGGTCTTACTTTGGGAATTAACGTTTTCATTTCTGTTTCTTCTGCAATGTCTTTTTGTTCTCATTCTCCTCCTGCTGGTCTGGCCCTCAGACAAACAACCATACAAGTGTTGTTTTTCTGCCAGTTTACTCACAATAAACCTCTGGTTGTTGTTTTTGTTGCAGTAAGAATGTTACACATCTTCTGAAACTCTTACAAGACTTGACAGATTAATATAAAGTCTGCCTTTCGAAGCCTGACTCTACAAACACAGCTTGTATGGTTTCTCGTCTGAAGGCCAAATTACAAAAACTTCACTGTAGCTGCTTGTGTTTGTAAAACAAAGATCCAATAAGACAGCAGCAGCCATGGACCCAGGACTCCTGGTATTCTCCTGATGTTAAGCTCTCTGCTAACTCCTCCTTCATTACTATACAGTATATGCATTGTTTTCTAAAGATAAAGAAACTGAACAGGGCAGTTAAGGTATATAGTATTTAATTTGTTTTGTTATCTCGAATATTCTTATTTACAGAAGATGTAAGAAAGTCAGTGCATGATGATGATGACGATGATTCCTCCCTTACGACATGTCTCCCTTCCAACTGTAAATTATTCTGCTGACCTTTTGTTTTTTGCTCCTTGCAAATATTTAAGGGTTAATTTGTATTTTTATGTTAGAATTATATGATAAAGTTGTTTTCTTTGCTTTTTTTTGGTTAAATTGATCAGCAGAGGAAATGTGTTGCCCCCTACAGATAGCGACAGTGGGCTTTGGAATAAGATTGTAATAATAATATTAATGATGATGATAATAATAATAATGGTTGTTTTTTGTAAATGGTATTTTTAAAGTTATTTTTGTATACGCAGTTGTTTGTTGCGTCACAAGTCCACTGCCACCCACTGAATCCATCTCCTCTTCTGACATCTCTCTCCACCTCTCTGTCTTGTTTGGATGACTTTTTGCTCCTTTGATGTAAAACATGCAGCAGTCATTGATCTCCTGCTCTGGACAACGAGCCGCTCATTTCTCTCTCTTCTGCCCCCCCTACTTAGTATTTTCCCCAGCTGTTTTCTTGCTTTAATTCCCCTCCCTGCCTCACACACATGATTCTGCCTCTTTAATTTTTAAAAGGCTGTCACTTCCCACACATCTGATTGGTTCACCAGTTAGTAAAGCATCTACAACTTCATGGTGCATCAAATAAGAAGTCACACCATCAGACTTGACTTAAAGTTGTGTAAAGAACTTCCTACCTTCCTTTCTCTTTATTTAGCACACGTTAACCATGTACACTAGCCTCGATCTCAGACAAGAGCCCACCTGTGCCTTTAAGAGAGAGCCCGCCCACTTTCCTTTCCTGTCATCTCCTCAAGTCATAAATGACGGCTTGAGTGTGAGCGATGTGTTTCGCTGCTGCTTGCTCAATGAGTCCTGTGGGACTCACCTTCAACCACCCCAAAAAACACCACCTTCTTCACGCACGCACACACACCTAAAATGTTTGTATGTTGCAGAAATCAATCAGTAAAAATGAACCTTAAGTAAAACATGCCTCTTTGTTTTTATTCGTTTTGGGGAAATGTTACAGAAGAAAGTGTGCAGTGTTCATTGTTAATGTGTCTGTACATACAGCAACTTTAACTTACATTACACTTACTTACATTATAGGTCATTTACATATATCCATTATGGGGTCCATATAGTCAGCCCATATTGGCTTCCCATATGGGGCCCACAAAATGTGCCTGGTTCCATCTCATGGCCACTTTGCCCACTTATATCCCAGATCAGGCCTATGGACATGCTGGCTGGGCACTGAAGTGGTTTATAAAGCCTTCTGTATTGTGTCGACAGCCACATCAAATGAAATAATCACATTTTGTCTCCTACTGGCTGATAACTGCAGGTATAATCCAATCGTGTGTGCGTGTGTGTGTAAAATCTTCGCACTCACCTGGAAGATCTGCTGAGATTAATGTATGCACACACAATATGATACTGTGATTAATTAATCACAGCAGGTGGTATGCAGCGTCTTACACAGAGACTTTTAGTATTCACTTTACACACACACAGACGCACAGTGGGTGGGAGGACATACTGTGATTATTACCTTACATTTACCTTACCATTACATTATGTCAAGTTTAAGCGTTAAAGCACAGGTGGTTCAGGGAGCTTTCAGTCCTTATATTGGTTATAAATAGATACTTTAGAGAGAACCTATTTTGACAGTGACACTTGAAATTAGTACCAAATCAGCAGAAAAGCGACTTCATGTTAAAATAATAAAAACAAATGAGATATTATCTACCTTCAGCTTTATTGTACATATTTAGAAATATGTGACAGATGCTAAGATAAGTGGTTGGTGCGTGTGCCCCATATGTGGAGGCTGTGGTCCTCTGGGCGACCGGCCAGGTTCGAGTCCCACCTGTAGCTTCTTTCCCGCATGTCATTCCCTACGCTCTCTCTCTCCCTGATTTCCAACTCTATCCACTGTCCTGTCTCTCCATTAAAGGCACAAAAAGCCCCAAAAGAAATATTAAAATAATAATAATAATAATTTAAAATTTTTTAGAACAATAACATAATATTTTAAAAGCCAGATCCGACTTATAATAGGCACAAATATGGAGTCATAGATATATATTTTTTTACTTCAAACCCAGTTATTTGTTACTTGCACACCTGATAATTAATGCAGTGTTTCCCACAGGGCACTACAACTTGTAGCACAGTATGAACACACACCCACACCCTCTCTCTCTCATTGTGTTGTATAAATTAAGCCAGGTTGCAATCTTAACTGGGTCAACTCAGTTTTCCCATGGAGCAGTTTAACACGTTATGTAATGGCTTAAAAATATAGCCAATCAGTGTTGAGTGTATGTGAGCAGAAGCAGCAGGCTACCATCTGAAGACACTGAAACTGTGTCAGTTTAAAATCCCAGAGTATAAAGTATTATGATTTTTACAAACACACTGATTCTTTTGGGTGTTCTTGTCAGCTGTTCTGAAAAACACACAGACTTAAGATGACCACCTCAGGCCTGCAGTATATGCTATGCTAACCAGTTGTGACTCCACAGCTCTCTAATAATGTTTAGTATTCAAACTCTGCTGTAACACACTGACAGACCTCGTACTGAGAACTCTGCCAATCAGAGTGCGGAGGATTCACGACACTGAGGTGGTCTGTGAGTGTCAAACTCTACCAAGATGAGATGAAAGTTATCCCTGTGATGAGAACATTTCAGTGTCACGATAAAAAAAAAAAACAGTGCTAGTTTCTTTCTACATGATATGTGAGTCAGTTGAGGACAGTGTGCAGCCTTTTAGGGGTCATTTTCTATAAATAAACAAATACGATGTCCTTTAAGAGCAAAAGGTAATATGAAATCAACCCTGTTCAGCACCACTCTTCAACATCATTTTCAACCTATAATGAACTGTTTACTCTACTCAGACAGCACAGTGCAGGTGTCAAGCCTCAAATGTTACACTATAAGCTATTTAAACCCCAAATGATAGACTCTATCTAAAGATTTTAGTGGTTTAAGCAAGGTATGGATTGGAGCTTTATTAAATAACTTCTATTCTAATAAGTACTCATTAATACGTTAGGCCAATTAATTGTTTGTTTGTAGGGCATGTTTCCAAACATCAAAAAACATCAATGAATTTTTGGAAGAAAATAGAAAAAAGTAAATACTCACAATCCAGGAGCCGGTCCAAGAATAATGGATTTTTTTATTATTATTTTAGCTTGAAGATAAATGTTTTAATTATAAAGCATTTTGTCAATAATTGCCAATAATTTTCTGCCTATCAATTGAGAGCTCAATTCAATTGTTTCAGCAAACCTGGGTTTTGTTGAGTGTCTAAGTGGTTATTTGGAATGATTGATTTATCCGGGAGGTAAAAAAGAAAATCTTTTGAGGAGATATTTGAATGCACATACTTTAGTTGATAGATGTCTAGATCATTAGTAAAGCAAAAGTCAAAACATAATCTGGCTTTAGAAATTTATAATTAAGGTTTTATAATTTCTGTTTTGTTAAGTTAAAAGGAAAGTTAGGCACCTCGGAATTTGGAGGTGTGGTATTTGACTTTATTTTATTAAAATTGTACATTAATTATATTAGTATTATTTCAAATGTTTTATCACTTAATATAACTGCTAATCGACACATGACACCAATCTGTATTAATGATGGGTTTACTTGTCATTTTTAACCAATAGAAAACAAAAATTAATTCTGCTAAGTCCCGCCTCCGTTTCATTTCTCTCCGTGCCTGTCAGTCAAGGCTAAGCCCCGCCCCCCTCTGCCTGCTTGCACGTCGCTTAAAAAAAACAGCAGCGGCGGCAGTTGAGGGAAGAGAGTAAATAGAGAGAGAAGCCTCAAGATGGCTGACTTGCTGGGCTCCGTCCATCTCACCGGAGCTGCTGCTGCGGTAGCCCCGGCGGTCGCCTCCGCTAAAAGCCTTCTCGTCAAGCCCACTGAGGCGAAGGGAGACCCCGACAACCGCTATCAGTCTTCTCGCGATTTCAACCCGCCGCCGCCCAAGAGGGTCCGGGTCGAGGAGAGGAGCGTGAAACCCAAGAAAGTCAGCACGGACGGAGGAGTGGGAGGCAACCGCAGCGTCAAAGAGAAACTCCAGCAGCCCACGAAGCAGCAGAGTAACAGCCCGGGGTCGTGGAGCTTCAGTCCGGTGAAGACGAGCAGCAACATCCCTCCTCCGGTGCCTGCTACCGGTGGATCCCAACCACCGACAAACACCCATAAAGTCTTCAAACAGAGCCATTTTTTCCTCCACAAAGCGCCTTCCTCCTCCAAACCCAAGAAACCCAATAAAGATAAACTGCGGGAGAAGGAGAAAGGATGTGGCGATAAAAAACATAAACTGTTGGTGACCTCCGGACACGGGAGTAGTAACAACAACAACAACAACGATGTCAGCAGATATAACACTTCTGCAGTGAAGAGGGAAAATGGGGAGGTCATGTTGGCACCTAAAGGTAGGCCATTCAAATCTGTTTTCTTTCTTAATTTCAAATGAAGAGAATTTATAAAGTTGCATTTATATGAAATAAGCAGGATACAGTTCTGCCCTTTTTATAGTGAATCTGCTCAGTGTAAATTCCGCCACTTTGGTATATGAACATGTGGTCCGAAGTGTGCAGTTGACTGCCTCCTAATGTGTCTGGACAGTCCCGTTTTCGGACTATTCACTGCTCTAAAGCGATTTAAAATCCTGTTTGGAATCGGTACACTACTCGAGGGTTACTGTTGCTTTGGATTAATCGTTATAAACCAGGTTAACGTCGAGTTTAATTAATATAAAGTCCAGTTAATTCGATGTTTCTCGGGGTTATGGCTGCCAGCTTTAGTCGCTTGATCACCCGCTCGTTCAGTCTCTGTGTTAGACTGTAACCAACTGCTCTGGTTCTGCTGCTCTGGTTCTGATGCTCTGGTTCTGATGCTCTGGTTGTGCTGCGGAACTGTAACGTCGTATTGACAAAATATAAATAGTTTTTTGATCAGCAGTCTTGTAAAAGAGTCGTATTTTGATGTTAAAGTGCATTAACGAGCTCTAATCTCTGTCGTGGCTGCGCAACGTTTGAGCCAACTCGTCCATTTATTGTGTAAGGTCGATACTAGTTCATATATTTAGTGTTTCCTGTGGAGCGGGATGTATTTAACTACACACTGCTGTCATAACAATATGACAGCCGCCCGCCATTATAGGCCAAGTGTTGTTTTGGTGGAGCACCACGCCCCCCTCTGTAGCCCACAGACACTCCACAGCTTGTTGTTACTCCATGCTCTGTTGTATTCATTCACCCGATCCTCCAAACAACTGGTTTTACCACTAACTATACACTAACACTATATTATTATACATAAGCAAATACACTCTAGTGAACCCTTTTGACAAAACCAAGTAAAACTAGTTTACAATTTGATACACTGATACTACTGATATACTAATATTTACACAATTAAGTGGGAAAAAAAATCAGAAAATAGAAAACCAAAACTGTTGTCAGTGAATGTTTCATCCCTTAAAAACACATAACAGAGAACAATTTTAATTTAAGAAATGGTTTGACAGACTGTATTTGAAAGGGGCAGTGCACTTTCCAGCAGTTAGCAAGTTAGCACTAATGCTAATTTGCGTATTTGGCCCTAAAAAGGAAACATACACATTAAAAATGACAATAACAAAATGATATATAAAACTACTCTAGAAGAATACAAAGCATATCCTCAATAACAGACAATAGCTAGGCTATGTTATTTAGCTTAACTATATATAACGTGCAATATATTTATCTGTATAGTATTTTTACTCATAGTTTTTCTTTTTATATCTATTTATATCTGCACCTTATTTTTATTTTTTCTATGTAAATACATGCTGCTGTTTTTATCCTGCACTACAACGAGCCAAATGCAACGAAATTTCGTTCTTATCTGCACTGTAAAGTACAAGTTTGAATGACAATAAAGAAAGTCTAAGTCCATATGTCCTGTATCATAAAATATGTATTTTATAAGCTTTGTGAATATGTTAGCTAAATGTTTGTGCATTATTTATTACATAATGAAAGTAATGCTTTATACTAGGGTTGGAAAAAAAATGATTTAAAGAAAAACCGAGATTCTTATCTTTAAATAGATTCATAACTGCCAAAAATCAATTATTATTTTTTGGCTATCAGTCGCTCCTTGCTAAGTGCTAAGTCGAGCGTTTTAACTCAGTGTCAAATGGAGCAACAAGAAATTCATTCAGTCTCACACTGGAGTAGCTCCTGGAATATGTACTCATTGATCCCAGCCCTACTTGATGGCTTATTGTGGTTTTATGTCATCATGGACATAAATAACGGGAGGGGACACATGCAAGGGTTTGTGGATGCATGATGTCATGATTTCACCCTTTTCCAGTCGGATAGTTTAAGAGGTCATGACACGCTCCGATCAGCCACAGTGACAACACCAGGGCGAGACGTGTTGTTGGCCTGTAGCCCCAACACACTATCAGAAACACTCACAGACTCGTAAAGAGGCAGTGTTCGACATGACTGAATGCTTTGTAGAGATTTCAAAACACACAGAAGCTGTACAGAGAGAAGTAGAACACAAGAGTGGAATGTCAAAATAAAACTAATGAGCACCTTTTTTATGAGCAGACATTAAAATAAAAACAGTTTTGTATGTTTTATAACTATTAATTCCTCTATTATTTTTATTAACTTAAAGATTTTAAATGCAACCATAGGAAACATTGAACAATATCTCTCTCTTTATAGTCGTGCTAATGAGTAGTACACCGAACCTCTAAGATGCTGTAGTTGCTTCTGTATAGCCAGCAGTGGGATACAGTGGTTATTTTGAGTAGTTTTAAAGATGAGAAGGATAAGTTATATGTATGTAGAGCAGATTACCTCCAAAAAACGCACCTTGATAAATAGTGTGAAAACATACAGTATACTAGTGTTTGAGCCTCTTCTTTGACAAAGTTGTAGTCACTACAGTCTCAGTTTGACACTTTAAAGAAAAAAAAACAATTTGGACCACGTTTTTCTGTTATATATTGAGTTGCAGGCTGGCCAAAAAATGTTTTGGTGCGTGAGAGAGACACGGGTTCTGATCCAGGTGCTGTAAACTGTCCTTGAGCAAGAGAGAGCGAGTCCTGCCAGATTCAGGAACTTGGCTCTTAATTTGATTGTGCTCTCTGAACTTCACAGGAGAATTACTTTTCCTGCTGGGATCAAAAGAGTATCACATTGTCATCATTTTTACAGTAATATTATTCGTGATGGGTTTGAGCCCAGGATACATTTAAATAAAAAAACTCAAGTCGTAAGTCAAGGAAACATAGCTGATTTAGTGTGAAAGATGATTTGTTTCACTCAAGAAGATGCCAAGAATACAACTGAGGGACTTGCTCCTGACACCCACTGTATTTACATTCAATCTCATATTACTCTTTAACCAATCATAGCTCTGTTAAACATCATCATGCTGACATAAAGGGAAATTCTATTATATTACTCTAAAATCGAGGTGGAGAATGACGCTGATGCAAAACCACTGCTAGTTGCAGTTTCTTAATTTTCTTAGGCTTGTTATGAATTCCTCTGGATACATTCTGACCATTAAACAGGTGGTTTAAACTTGTTTTTATTGGGAATTGGCTTCTTTTTTATTTCTCTTTTTTTTCTGAGTGAATATGTACCATGTTGACAGAGTATCTGGATATCCTTGTCTCTGTCTTTAAGACAAAATGAAGCTGAGCACCCAATTAAGTCACCGTTGGCTGGGTCATTACATCAAAAATTACAAAGACACTTCGTTCTGTTGTGCATTATAGAAATTCACTAGATTGAAAAACACTGTGATTCTTACTGAATACTTTTTCTTGAGACAAGCTTGAGTGAATGGAATGGATTTGCTTCAGCAGCAGGGGTGGACTGAGCCTCTGGAGCTGTACGATGTTTATCGGGGGGGGGGGGATACCCGTAGTTTGGCAGAATCCATCAACACTGAAATAAAATACCTCAAGTCATCTAAAGCTCTTTTTCTAAAGGATCATGTTTCTTTAATTGTCAGATACCCACATCTGCATTACCAGTTTGTCCAGATCTGCCATAAACAGTCAGTTTACTGCTTGAAAAAAATAGCTTGGTAGTGTCCAGCATTTTATTCATATGGTCATCAAGCATCAAAGTGTCATTTATTCTATATGCCAGTTTTACATTAAAAAAAACGTATGAAAATGTTTTCAGAGATGGAAAGAACAGTTTTTAGTTTTTTTTTTGTTCAGGTTATCCTTTTCAGGGTCAAATCAAGCTGCAGTATATCCCACTATACATTTGGTGAGAGGCAGGGGAAATCCAAGGCAGGGTTCCTCTATTATCACATTACACATGGCATTAACACCTTACTGGAATAACAGTCAATATGATTCTTCTGACTTCACAATTTTATCTAATTAAAGGATCAATGTGTAAGATCTCTACGGTATTAAACTGTTAAATTACTCTACTATATGATAGACATTAAGGTAACATGCTATGTTGAAGTGCTGGTCCTCCTCCTTCTAACTTTAGATTCTGGTCCTGAATGCTCTGGATTTGTTTGGACCAGAGAAGGTAAGCGCTTTTAAGGCACCCCCACACGGCCGTTTTGGATGCCCCTCGGTTTGGGGTTGGGGAGACAGCCCTCTACATTGTTTTAAATTTGGACTGCTGTAGTATCCATTTTATGCTACTCAGAGTTACATATTGCTCCTTTAAGTTAACATATTGGGTCTTATGCACAAGTCCTGAAAGTAAATCAAGAATCTTATCATAATTGTATTTTAATGCACATATATTCTGACTTTGACCTTTGTTTGAAAAAGGACAATATTCCTCCTAAGCTATCTAAACTGGGCCAAACTACTGATTAGTTGATTCGTTTACAACCAACCTACAGCTGTCGTAAACAGGCCAGAAGCAATTTGTATTTGAAACCCCAATTGAGATCCAAAATCCACTGAGTTATGCCCAAATAATACTCATTAAATAAACTGATATTCATTTAAAAATGCAACATGATTTAAGGCCTAAATTGGGATAACCAATCTTCTATGATATGTCCTGGCATTGCTTATTGCTGCCCATGTCTGTAATTTGCTCATGTTGATCCTGAGCTTTACATAATTATTATTATTTTATTGTTTAAATCAAAGTTAATCAAATCATTCCTCGAGGTGACTGCCCTTTCATTGGCCCTCTGAATTTCCCATCTATAGTGAGTGTTGCATAGAAGTTGGGTTTAGTTGAAGTTGACACACCGTCTGCCTCTGGCCCTCCATCTTTCAAAGTGGTTTCTCTCCTGTGATCATCCTCACATTGAAAACCACCTGCTGTGTTTCCCCTTGAAACTTGGTGGCTGCAGCAAAGTCGGAAAACAAAACGAAAAAAAAAGAAAATAATGGAGAATTCAGTTATGTGTTTCTGGTGCATTTAAAAGTCAAGTGTAGTGCTATCTCACCCTGACAAACCAGTTTTTGGTTTCTGAACTTGTGACCCTGAAGCCCTCTTAAAGGGGCAGTCTGTTCTTCTCACGGCATGTCAGCCTAATTTATCTTCTGTCTCCTCTGAATTTAAAGTTTCTGATTGTTATGCTCCAGCATGGCCTGACATGTTTTTATAAATCTGGCAGCTAATCTGAGGGAGCCCTCCTTTATCCACAGCTTCCTGTTGAGTTAAATTGATGTATTGAAATTTGCTGTTTTTGTCCTCCAGCTCTATGAGCTTACACTCATCTGGTAATCTTAAAGCATTTATTTTGCATCGTTCTTTACATGGTTTGTTAGCATTCCTGGCATATCTCCATTTAACCAGAGGATATGAGGAGCATGACTACCTGCATGTTAAGCAGTAAAGAAACACAAATGCCACCGTATTTACTGAAACACAGTCATTACAAAGAGTGTATCGATGTAGCTTCTGATTATCCCTCTGCTCCTTTAAGCCTTTTTTTTTTTCTGTCTTTTAAATTTTTAAAGAATTTTCTCTTTTGATCCTGCAAACAGCATGTCTAACCCCACTGCGCTCACTTACCTACTCCCAACGTCCACAGGAAAGTGAACAGTCTGAAAACACAGCTTCCTTAAAGACAAATCTGACTGAGTTCAAAGGAGAAACTTCTTTTGGAAAGGCAAAGAATGAATGTGGAATAAATAAAGGACTTCTTTTTTACACTTTGAGGGAAAAATTAAGAATCAAAGGAGAAAGGGAAGTTGTTTCTCAGTCACCTTGAAGACAAAGGGTTTTATTTACACCAGTCCAACCTTACACACACACAAAAACACTCCAACAACTGAAGTATTTGATTGTATGATATTGCATTTTAAATTCTTATTCAGAGCGATTTGCAGTAAAGTGTAATGTTCAAGTGCACTCCAATTCCTCTTGTAATATTCCTCAGACATTTCTGTCAGACGTGCTGGTAGAGGAAATAAAATGAGTCAGAAGCAAAGAGTGTATTTTAAGACTTAAAAAGCGTGGGGACATTGAAGTAAGTAAAAGGCAGAACATGGCAGCAGAGCAGAGGGATGAGTTGTGGGGCATAAACGTGAAATATATCTCAATGAGATGCTGCTTTAAGGTTAGGAGTGAAGTTGCTGCAGCCAGAAAGGGAATAGAAAGGTAATTACTGTGCTGAAGAAACATGAGAGATAAGAGGAGATGTTTTGTGGCAGGAGGGATCTTCTGCCACAAGAAAAGAAAAAGCAAAAAAATACTACGTCAGGGATGAGGAGTTTTGTTAAAGGGTAAAACAAACAAATTGAAGATCGAGTATGTTTGTGAGCAGCATGCTAATGTTGTTCAACCATTGAGATCTAAAAAATCCTCTTCTGTGTCCACAGAGCACTCCGACAAGGTGAAAGAGAGAGAGCAAGAGGAGAGGGAGAAGAAGAAGGTCAAAGACAGAGAGAAGGAGAAGAACAAGCACAAAGTGATCAACGAGATCAAGCGGGAGAACGGAGACGTCAAGCAGCCCATTAAAGGTTGGTGAAAACTAGTGCATACAGACCAGATGAAAATGTGTTACTTCCTATGGCTTTGTCTGCAAATAGCACTTAGAAACACTTACAGGAATCGTGGTGTTCATGTGTCAATGACAGCAGTCAATCAAGGCCGTAACCAGGGTTTAGAAAATAGTGAGGTCGAGAATTGTTTCTCTTAATCTATCGTATTAAAGGCATTTCGGGGCATGCAAAATTCATGCACAAATGATACCTTCAAATGCAACCCAAGCTAAACACCAACACAAACTCACACACATTCACTTCCTGTTTGTAAAGTTAATTATCTGCGAACCACAGGTGGTCTTTCAAACAGAGCATCCATGACATTTAAAAGTAAAAATTGCACTATTTGCTGTTTTATAGTCAGCACCATTGTAAGGGGGGGTCAGGGGGGTCTCCCCCAGAAAAACATTTAAGCAGCTTACATTTCTTTTCCTGCATTCTGGTCACTTTTTCTTCACCAGTTTGTGTCTTTTCTGCAAAATGTTATAATTCTAGTCTTTTGTCCTTTTTTTGTATCTTTTACACAATAATGAAGTCATTCATTGAATACTTTTATAAACATGTGGACTGGACAGATATTCTGCACTATTCCAGCTCTGCAAAGTTTATTTTTACCAGTAGCATATATATGTAAAGCTGAGATATCATTTATGACCTTATTTTGTTCACAAAACTGTGAACATTTAAACATGATCTAGATTGTGATTATATTTTTCTGTTTTTGGGTTGTTGTTCTTGTTTTCTAAAGTTTCACTTTGTCCTGTATCACAACACGTGAGCCTACTGTGGGGAGGTTATGACGCAGCAAAACTAAGGGAGAGAGCACAATCACATCGGCAGCGAGCAACTGCATAAAAAGAACAAAAGAACAGCTTTTTAAGTAGAATAACATACAGCAGTCACCCTCTCTTTCTCTCTTTTCTGTCTCTCTCTCTGCTCACCTGCAGAGTTTTTTTTCCATAGTTCGGTGGTGGGTGCGTGTCAAGCACAACGAGAAACACAGAGGCTGTGTGTGTGTATGTTTAATAAAAGGAGGAGGTATAGACCTGTTATATAGGAAAGGTATCCTTAAATGACTTCTGTTGTGAATTAAATTTACCTGACCTTCAAGGAAGGGTTGGGGGGTTGTCCCCCTAATATAATGGTAGGGGAAACACTGAAATTATTTTCAAAAATAATATAAATAATATAAAAGTGTTTTTAATCAAAGCTTTGATGAATCACAAAGGTGAAGTTGCATGGCTGTGACAGTAATATGTTTGTGGAGTGTCAGTCAGATAACCATCAGATTAACAGTTAGCACTGTTTCAACAGCTCCTGGAAGTATAAATGACAAATCTCTTGGCTAAACTTAATGAATGAAACACTTTTCCATCCATCATGTAAGTGGCTCTGATTTAGTGTCTCTTAAATCTTTTTTTTTATTAAAAGTGTCATTTACTGCTTTAAAGTACAGAAAACAGTACAGAAACATGTGGTCTGTTGTAAGATGTTTCTCTGCCTGGTATACTCGGTCCCAAATAGTTTTCTATTTAATATTTAAGCAGATATTATTGGTAAACATCTGAGACTTCATTGTGGTATGAGAAAATTCTTCATAGTGTTTCATTACAATGGCTGACATGCAGGATCACTCATGTATTTAATATAAAATACAGAAGATTGTGTAATATGGGGTTTTAAGTTTCAACAAATTCATAACAAATGTTATCTGAAGACATTTTACAAAAGAGCAGGCAAAGACCTTACTTATTGTTAAAGACCCAACATTAATCCATCATGAGCACTGAGTAACATTCAGCATGTTTGTATTTCTGTGAGAAAGAAAGTGGTCAGTCTCCTGTGTGTTGGTGTATGAATGTAGAGGATTCAATCAGATGTGTTGCCATGATGATTAAACACAAGATGTTCAGGATATTTTTATAAGTGCATGCTGTTGCACATCAGAATTTAGCACTGACCCACTTTCAGCGGCTGCTCTTCAGTAAATCATCATTATGTTGTACTCGTGGCTCTGCACCACAGAAGGTGTTGTTATTACCATAAAAGGCCTGCTGTATGAAGTCAGGGTGACAGTTACAGTGTTTGTCACTATGTTTATTTTCTCTTTGTGACCTTTATGCAGCGCTGCTCCTCACAGGGAGGATTTGTGTGTCAGACACACTCTTTGTGTGTGTTTGTGTGGGTACAGTGAAGTGGATCTGGTAGCTCAGATTTTAACAGAAGGAGCTGATCGACGAGTCAGTATAAGGAATTATATTCTGTCTTTCCCACAGAAGGACAGGGGGGATCGACATACTTTATCTTCAGTGTTTCCCCTACCATTATATTAGGGGGGCGGCCCTTTTTTTTTTCTTTTTTTTTAAAGATTTATTTTTGGGCTTTTTGTGCCTTTATTGTAGAGATAGGATAGTGGATAGAGTTTGAAATCAGGGAAAGAAGTCATTTAAGGATATCTTTCCGATAGAAAAGGACAGCTGTCATTAAAAGTAATACATGAACACCAAGATTCCTTCAAGTGTTTGTGTTGGCGTGTGTCCCTCCCCCCCACCCCACCCCCCAAAGCTGTAAACCTAGGGGAAACACTGATCTTGGATATATTTTAATATTATGTTTGTATTTATATTGAATATGTTTTTCCCTCTAAATTAATTTAGTTATTGCAACAAACAATTTTAATCAGATGCAGGGGATGGACTCTTATCTTTGGGTATGTTTTAACTCTGTTGTTCAGCAGTCCAGCACACTGTTAGCAGCTGTACTTTAACAGATATTCTGTTATTTGGAGGAGTTTTTACTCACCCTGCGTGCACGCAGCAATTTTAAGAATAAATGAAAAACATGTCGGAAATATACTTAGATATCATTGTGTTTATTTTCTTCTATATCTCCCTCACTTTATCGTTTCCAATGTTTAGCCTTTTCTTCAATAAGTTAATTATCCTGTGTCCTCCTCACTCTTTGCGGTCTGCCTGTTTCTCTTTCCTGCACCTAATTACCTAATTAAAAGTATGAATAACAAGTCAAATACTTAGGTTAGGATTGAAGTTATGAATCAAATCATACATTTTTAAACTGATGCATCATAAACTAGATAAACTAGCCTTATTTTTCATGGGGGGTCTTTATTTTTCTCTGGCTCACTGCATGACTACCAATGACATTCACCAATATCAACAAAACATTGGTTGAATAATTTTGTGGTTTATTTTTTGTGCTTTTTATTGTAGAGACAGGGCAGTGGAAAGAGTCAGAAACAGGGAGAGAGAGGTGGGGAATGAAATGCAGGAAAGGAGCCACAGGTGGGATTCGAACCTGAGTCCAATTGAGTCCAATACCTGGGATGCACGCACTAACCACAAGGCTACCCTGCTATCACAATTTTAAAAGAATTTCAATGTTGTATTGAAGAATTACATTCGGTCTCGACAGAAGCTTGAAATTTTACACTCAAACAACTTCACCTAACAATATTAAATGTGACAGTTGTACACTATAAATATTAAACTATACTGAAGGTACAATCATCCACATTAACTAGAAACTGTAGAGATTTTTAAACCTTAAATTACAAAAAATACATGTAAAATGCAGACTAAATGCTCTTCTTTAAATCGTTTCTATACAAAACCTAAAGTCTAGTAATGGCCTGCAGGCAGCTGTGTGCTAGACAGTGTTCTCTTTTATGAATGAGTGAATTATTCACAGACTTCTGTTACATAATGTTCGTCTGGCTCTGCACACTGACTTACACACACACATCACACACTGACATGTAAAATTGGCTGCCAGTGTTTTTCTCTGGTTTCTCCTCAGACCATACACCACACATTGACATTTAGAGGTCTTTGCAAAACCTCAACGCACATTGTCACCCGCTTCTGCACATTTAAATAACAGATGTTTAGTTCAACCTTTCAGTGTTTGCACTTCTTGGAAGTTGAACTGACACAAAAGGAGAGGGTGTTAAAAAAACCCAGTATGTCTTGAGTCCAAGTCAAGGTGTTCCATTGAATCTGAGTCTGTGGGAAGCGAGGCAGAGGTTTCCCCCCACTGAAGAACACGTTTATTTAATCAGTTTGTAAAGAATAGTAGTAGTGCAAGAGAGAAAAAGTGAAAGTTAGAAATGCAATCAGTGAAAGATTTTACATGTTTACAATTGAAAAGAACGAGGCAGCCAGAGGAAACATGTATTGGAAATCAATAAGCTGCAAACAGCTCAACTAACCGTGATGCTGCTTTACTACCACTACTAATTTTAATGTGAGACCCCAGTTTGACCACACATCCATTATTGCTCATATTTTTGCAGTGCATAGGACCGCTATGATATGAGTGTATTAATGTTAAATCTAATATCATCATATATACATTAGAGCTGACAGAGAGTGAACAGGTTTAATGTAAGAGATGATCTAATTGGTCTCCAGGCTCCTAATCAGAGGCAGACTTTTGTTTATATGGTTAAAGTTTCCAGTTACTGTTTTCCATTTACTCTTTGTGTGTTGCTTTTTCCTGTTTAGTATAACTCAGAGTCTCAAAACAAAGGTTACAGTTTTGTCTGTACTTTAAAGAAAACAAGACTTTTGAAGTTGTCATCTCAGGCATTTTAGAATTTTTTAAAAAGTGACATTTTTAAGATCAGAGGATTAAAAAAAGAATATGATCTGCAGACTAACTGATAAAAAAAAAAAAAAATAGTCAGCTGCAACTCTACTTTTGACAATCTGTTGAGGAATCTAACCTGTGAGATTCTTCTATTTTGACCTTCAAAGCTACATTTGCTTTCAGAATAACAAAAATCACTGCTGACTAATAAGACAAAATTGATGTTGTAAAAAATCTGTTATATATATATATAAGAACATCTGCGACTCATGAACCTCTTTCCCTTTAGCTCAACTTCGTGAGCTCTGTTCTGAAGTCTGTCACTTTTTTGATGGATCATGGAAAAAAAAGCATAAATTTGAATACTGATTCAGGTCTCTTTTAAAATACATGCAACTATGTTCAATCTAAACATCTAATTGAATCATCCCTTAGGGGATATATGACTGGTAGACAGATGGAGATAAATAAAAAACACTTTAACATAAAGTAAAACATGCTTAAACCCATCAAGCAAGCACATGTAAGACCATACGTGCACATAGGATGTGTGTTTTATTCAACTTGACCTTGTTTGCCACTCTGTAAGTATGAACACAAAAGGCTCATAATGGTATGGCAGAATGGATGGAGGTTTGGGTTTGGGCTGTTATAATATTTTTGTGTCTGTGGATAAGATAATTATCTGCTTTATATAAAAGAGCATCTATTGGTGTAATAAGAAAAAGATAACTTTGAAGTGATCTTTTATTCCCCTCCCCCCAAAGAAAACGTTTATTTCCAATCTCTCTATCTAAATTAGATCAAGCATGACACAGTGTGTTAGTATACATTATCTGTTTATTTCATTTCAACGTTGCAACACATTTATCACACTAGTTCTTCATGTCAGCCTGCTATAACTATGTGTGTGTGTGTGTGTGGCTGAACAGAGAGCGAGATTTGGGGGGAGGGGTTAAAGAGCTTTTGGATTAGTAGTAGTGTGGATATTGTGCTGCAAAAACCTTCTTGCTGTTCCTCTGTAACACACACACGTAGTGTTTCTTTTTCTTGTACTCGCTCTCTGCTGTTTGCATTTCTGCCTTATCTGACATTGAACGTGTGTGTGTGAATGAGATTATAGCTGATATTTGAATTACGCTGAGGCAGCAGCACCTCCATTAAAGTGACTCACATGTGCACACACACACTTACACATATACAGTAAATGTATGAATGTCTCTTTGTTTACACAACCACTGGGTAGAAATGAAGCAACCAGCAACACATCAGCAAATAGATGTGAAGAACTCTCTCACACACACACACACACACACACACACACACACACACACACACACACACACACACACACACACACACACACACACACACAGTAGCTCTGTGCATAAATCGGCATGTTCCACTTTGTCACGCCTCGGGCACAGAGGAGATAGTCTATCATGGGGTACGGTATCATCTCTGTTTAGATAAAATAACTCTTAAAAGCTTGTTTCCTGTTTTAGTCATCTCTGCTGCTCTCTAGGGATTTCCATTTAGGACACTTGAATTTGTTTTATTTATGCATACTGGGAGATTTGCACCATCTGGGGAAAGCCCGGAGTCATCTGTCTACAACTACTCATAGTACTTAGGACTAATTACTTTTTCTTGTTTTCCATTTTAAACAGAGAATCAATTAAGCATCCCTTTCTTTTGATTAAATGGGGAAAAAAATTTATGCAAACATCTGAGCGATCTCTTGTTCTTTATGTAACTTTATTTGCTCATTTAGATTCTTTTAACTTTTTTTGCGTACCTTTTATCTTACTGGAAGCTGATTTTGCACTTTCTTCAAAGATGATGTTACAATGTGATGTACCATAAAGTAAAGAAAGATTTTACTCACAGCCGGGGGATGTGACAGCACACTTACAACAAAAATGTTTTTAATTGTTATATTTTTGAGTTGATCTCTTAAGATAGTCCAATCTTTTTGGAATAAACAATAACTTTCTTCTCTCTCTCTCCTTCTGTTTTTTTGTCTAGATGAAAAAGAGAAGATCAACTCTGAGGAGCTGCAAATAAAAAAAGTGAAGAAAAAAAAGAAGAAGAAACACAAAGAGGTGGAGAAGCATAAACGTGTGAAGATGTACCACCGCTCCTGCCAGACCACATGTGCCGGCTTGCTCCTTTGCCCTCCATCCTCTCCCCCTCCCAGTAACTCCTCACTTTCTCCATTTAAGTCCCCTCTCCCTATTTTCAACACAACTAACAACAGAACACACCTCCTGCCTTCTTCTCCTCCTCTCTCCTCCAAAGCTCTCTTCAGCTCCCCTCTCCACAACTCTCCGTCATGCATCAAGCCTGCACAACCCTCCCCTACCAAAAACCATGCACAGAGTGTGTACCCTGGCATGGCCGGCCTGGAGTTTGCCCCATACATTCACATAGAGAACCAGCCTAACGGAGGCGCCCTGGTGGCTCACGCCTACACCTCCCAGCTCTCCTCTCTCTCCGCGGGACAGAGGCAGAGATTCGCCCAGGAGTTTGTCACCTTGTCTTTCAGCGAGGACTCATCCCAGGTATGACACGCTTATTAATCAGACTGGGTTTTGTCTTCAATTCGGCTGCTGTATAAAAGATACATCATGTTAAATGTTTTCCAGGCAGCTGATTACGTCATGGGGATTGTCCACGGAGAGGCAGGATACCTACCTGACTTTTTGGACTACTTCTCAGACCACTTTCCCTCAGCTCCAGTCAAAATGGAAATACTCGGGAAGAAGGACATAGAAACCACCACCATGGCTAATTTCTACTCTCAGGTCAGTCAGAATAAATCCCATGCACACACGCACAAGAGAGACTGTTCACAAGGCTGCAACTATCCCTCAGCTCTTGTAAAAAAGTGATTACACAGGGTTTGTCTTTTGGTAATTCAGCTGGGAAACTCAAAGAGGACAGAGCAGATGGCGAGCTTTCAGACAGCAGAACAAAAAAAGAAAAAAAAAGAAAGTCTGGAGTCCAAAATAGCTGAGACCAAGTGATTCTAAAAAGGGATACCAGCATGAGGAAAACACTTTTCCAAGTTTACTGATGACAGTCAATATCTGTAGATAGAAGCTGCATACACATGTATTCTGGCAGACAGTAAAATCAGAAGTCATTTAATTGTATGATTGCAGGACAGTTACATTGGATGAGGAAATCAGGGAATCCTGGAAATGTTCACAGTAAAAAGTTTTCATACTTTCTAAAAGTAAAAAAAAAGATCTGTTTTCTTTCCTGTCCACAATGATGCAAAAATTACAATTTGATTCCCTGTAGCCCCCTAAACAAAGAAGAAAACATGAAGAAGCTAAACATTTTGCCAGCCGACCAATCAGTAGACTCTTGTATTTCCATGTCCCATCCCTACTAGCATACATTAACTAAGAAACAACAATAGGAAAGGTGGGCAGGTTATGTACACAAGCAAACCTACGTCCAAACCTCTTTTGCCTGTGTGCGATTTATTTGACTGAACATCAGACTAAGTAGCACAGTGGTCCATTCACACAGGATCTAAAGACCTGTTATGTAATCATGGTGCAGACAGTTTCCTGATCTGGGCAGGTCACATGACAAAGTGAGCTTGGCTTTAAGTCATGTGATTTAGGGCAAAACTGTAAATAAAGTATTTACACGATGCAGACACAACTCAGCTTTCTTTGTTTTCAGACTTTGTAACACATGCTGGCACACACACACACGCACATGCAGCTTGGTTTCAATTTATAACGTGTTGTCAAGTTGGTTGTGGTGTATGCACAGGAAAGATTCACTCCAGACGTTGCTGGTTTGTAGATTCTAGGTTATAGTATGAAGATAGATTGTTATGAATAGTTTGACATCTGGGTCAGTGTGTTGTTCCTGTGTACAAAAGTGTAGTTGATATAAATCACCCAGTTGTACTGATTATGGTACAGTACATTTAAGAAATGTGTAAAATTTGGGACATTTATTCTATATAAACATCAGGCTTGTGATTGTCCGCTCAGATCTCAGATGTTCAGATGTTCTGCATTTCACTTCTAATCCTTAAAAATAAAGATGAGAGTGGACGGATAATAAAAAGTGGGAAAAAAGGATTTTAAACAATGTAGGACATCATTTGAAAGATCGATAATGAATATAAAAATTACAAGGGAGAATAAAAATAAAACTTGAGTAAAGACAGAGCTCTCTTTAAGGAAAAGGTTGGATTACTGCTGCACGATGCAGATGAAAAGTTGTGTTGTTGAGGCCTCACACATCTGGTTGAAGCATCTACCTCCATCTGTCCAGTGTTAGACAGCTTTTGGCGTTTTTACAGATGTCGGATTTCTCCCATGAAAAATTAGCGGTAGAGATGTGAGCAGGTGGTGACTGCTCTTATTCATTTCTATTGAAATGAGGAATGCACCATATACCGTCTGATTGTTGGTATCTGCCAATACTTGACTTTTTGAAGGATATCGGACTGTTGGAAAATAATTTGGCATTTGCAGATGTGGCAGCCAAAACAAATCTGCTTCCTCCTGTCAACTAAAATAAGTAATAAGCCCCATGTTTTAGCTCACAAACAACAAATTAGAGCTCAATTCTAGCCGTATTTATGTTTGTGACTATTCATTATTTATATTTTAGATCTGGTAACAATTTCTGCATTTAATTTAACTTTGTAAATACTTAACATTTCTCCAGTCACTGTGTGATTGTAAAGCAGACTGAAGAGGCTTTGAAAACAGTCATTTTCTGAAGAAGATTGAATTTCAGGTTGTTTTGTAAGTTTGAACAATTGTATACATTATTAACACCATCTTTTAAGTCAGCACAATTTCAGAATTCACTAATGTTTTTAAAATAGTGATGTTAGGTGGGACTTGACCCAGATGGGGAAATTAACAACAAAAATAAACAATTCATTTAAAGTAAAATATCTGTATCGGTATAACATCACTGATCAGCTAAATCATTTTGTCACACATTGGAATTGGTATCATTCATGATTTTCTTTATATGTGCATCCATCATTGATATAGGATGAAAGAAAGGTAGCCAGAAGATGGAAAAGAAAGAAGTGAAATTATAGACGGTGAGAAGTTTTCACTGCAACATTTACACTACAGGAAACATGTGTGTGTGTGTGTGTTACTACAGGGGTTGAGCAGCTTCTGGTCTCTATCAATCACTCTCCTTCTGGCTACTTATCTATGTTATGAAATATTCATAAGGCGATTCAGTGTGTGTGTGTCTCGACTCTGGCCAGCCCTGCTACAACACACACACATCCTTGATGTCTGCTGTTTTTTTATATAAATTAAATTCACCAAATTATTATTAAATTAAACTTCTTCACAAACCTGTGTCTCTGCTGCGCTGTCTCTTTAAGAGTAGTGTTACTCACAGGGATAACATCATTGTCCACTGGTCTTAATGTTTTTTTCCCCTCCCTCCCAGTTCTTAGCAGTGACCTTGGGAAGTAGACGTACACACACACATAAACACACAGCAGGCACACTGATATACAGAGCACAGGTGTACACACACTTTTTCTCTCTCTATCCCCTTTTATTGCCCGTGTCTCCTTCTGTGTTAGCCTCACTTTCTCCCTCCTTTTTTTAACCCTTCACTCTTTCTGCCTCTGGTTGATGCTGTTTGTTGTGTGTTTGTTGTTCTTATAGATTTTTAACTCCACACTTCCCCATGTGTTCCTTGAATATCGTAATTGTAAAAAAACATTGAGGAGAGGATTTGAGTGCAGGACTCAGGGTTGCTTTGCTGCCGCTTGTGCTCTGTAAGAGTCTTTTGTATTCAGTACCTGGCTGAAGGCATTTTCAGTGGTGCTAAGGATTATAGAAGATTACAGCACTCCATTTTCTCAGGGCAAGCAGAGCCCCACAGTGGAAACATGATGTGCCTCTACAGTGAGGTAAATTCTGTCTTTCCCCTTTAGTCATTTAGTGTCCTAATATAGTTACAGCAGCAGAAGATTAAAACAAAACAAAATAATATTATGCCAATTCTTCATAGTAATCTGTGCTCTTGTGTATGTCACTAACAGCATGTTCACAACCATACCAGTAAAAAGGATTTTTGAGAAATCTGACTTCAATTAATTCCCCAATGTTATATTATATCTGAGACCAGAGCTGGGTGAGAATTTTTGTTTAAATTCATGTTAGAACATTCTCAGGAAATAAAGTACTTAAAATAATTCCTCTTACAGCCAAATATAATACAGGAGGTAAAAAAAACACAAACAAGAAAATAAAAATCAGCCCATCAAACAAGTTCTTGCATCTAATTTTGAATTGGCAAAACAACATCTGTTGATTTAGAGTGAAAGATAATTTTTTGTATTAATTTTATTTAGACATTTCACAAAATGTAAAGTGTCTGCATGCTATACAAAAGATATAAGGAATATCTATATCTCAATCCTTTGTCCCCATTTTCTTGGGTTAACATTCTCCACATAGACGTTGATTTCTAAACATAAGGCCCTGAATGAATGTGGGCTGTCTGCTGGTTTTGACAGAACACCAGCTGGCAGGCTGATAAAATAAAGGGCAGGAATCTAATGCTACCAAAAAAAAGGATTTTGAAACTAGCTTGTTGTGTGTAAAAATTCCACTTTTTGTGTATTTATTGAACCTTAATTGAATCAGGAAATGTACCATTGATATATAAAATCTCAGGTACTGTTGACATAAATCTATAATTTGACTGGATTTCCAGTGTTTTCACACATTTAGGTCATCTGGCGAGATAGTTAAACGCAAACTGCAACATATCTGACTCCAAACAAAAATATGCATGCAGTAGCATCTGTGCTTAAGCTTTGGCACATTCCCAGTTTGAACTTTGATAAAGATGACAGATTACATTACACTCATTTATTGTGCCTGTGTTTGTGTCTGTGCGGAGGGACAGATTATGTAAAACACGTTTGTGCGGTTGTGAATTTGGCACCAGTCAGCAGCTTTGTTGTGACGCAGGCGCTGTAAAAGACTTGGCACTCTGGAGACTGACTGGACATAATGAGTCAGAGGATGAAGAGGGAGGGCAATAGAGAGGTCAGATAGAGCAGCGACTACATGACCTCCTGACATGAAATCAGACAGAGAGAGGGAGAGTGAAGGATGTTTTGCAGGAGAGAAGTCGTTACAGAATTAACAAGCGGCTGAATGAGAGACAGAAAAGAGATTTAACTTTGCACCTGAGGGGAAGACGTTTTATGAAGAGGAGACAAGAGAAGAACGATCATTTCAGAAGGAAGTAGATAGGCATAAGATATTTTAGATTTCAAGATTTTCTGTTTTTTAACAAAGAAAATGAGCAACAGTGATTGTGATTATGCATAATAATGTCAGTTTTTTAATCTTGTGAATGAATGAGATGCATTTCATTTCGATAATTTATGTAACAGGACCCTAAAGATTGATCATACTTCTCAAAGTGAACTATTTCTTTTCTCTGTTGGTGTCTATTTGTCATCTCTAGTATCATTTAAATAACCGAGGGAGGTATTTAACGACTACTTCGGCCACTGTTACAGTTTTTTCAACGACTATTTGAAGACGTTTATTTAAACTTCATGTTTGGACCAGAATTCACCCGGACATCTGCGTTTGTCACAAGATTAATCATACTTTCATAAATGTCAGTTTTCAAAACCTTTTATAGCAGCTAAATGATTTTATCGGTGAGCAGTGCATCAAAGCCGCCAGTGTGACCACAAGTAGACCTAGAACTGAACTCCTCCTCTAACAGGAGAGATTTCCTAACTTCTCTTCCAGTC